TAAAATAATTGATGGTATTTGGTTTAGAATACCATAGCTTGGGCATTTAACCCCATGATTCTAAACAACTCACCATATATTGCACAGTGTTTCACAAAACAGTCATTTGAAAATGTAGGTGTGTTGTTGTTGTTGTTGTTGTTATTCAGATCCTGGGGCTTGGACTCAGGGCCTGAGCTCTGTCTCTGAGATTTTTGTTCAAGGCTAATGCTCTACCACTTGAGCCACATCTCCACTTCCGGCTTTTTGGTGGTTAATTGGAGATAATGGGGCTGGAATTCTGGGCCTGGGTGCTGTCCCTGAACTTTTCAGCTCAAGGCTAGTGCTCTATCACTTAAGCCACAGCACCACTTCCGGTTTTCTGGGGGGGGAGGGGGATGGAGATAAGAGTCTCAGGGACGGCTGGGAAGGTGGCTCAGTGGTAGAGTGCTTACCTTGCATGCATGAAGCCCTGGGTTTGATTCCTCAGCACCACGTAAGCAGAAAAAGCCGGAAGTGGCTTTGTGACTCAGGTGATAGAGCATTAGCCTTGAGCTGAAGAGCTGAAGGACAGCGCCCAGGCCCAGAGTTCAGGCCTCACAACCAGCAAAAAAAACAAAAACAGAGTCTTAAGGACTTTCCTGCCTGGGCTGGCTTTGAACCTCAATCCTCAGATCTCAGCCTTCTGAGTAGCTAGGATTTCAGGCATGAGCCACCCATGCCAGGCTGGAAAATTGGATTTTTAAAAGATATTATTAATCCATGCTAAATGGAAAAGCAAACAAAATTATTTACAATCAGTATGATTTAAGATTTTTCTCTCTCTGGGTGTTCATGACTCATGCCTATAATCCTACCGACTCAGGAGGCAAAGATTTGAGGATCACAATTGGAAACTAACCCATGGAGGAAAAATCTATGAGGCTTTTATCTTCAATTAACCATCAAAAAATCCAGAAGTGTAGCTGTGACTCAAATGGTAGAATGCTAGCCTTGAGCAAAAGAACTCAGGGACAGTACCCAGGCCTTGAGCTCTAGCCCAGGACTAGCACCCTTCCCATCCCCAAAAATAAGACTTCCTCTGGGCTGGGGATGTAGATTTCTGAGAGAGTACTTGCCTAGCATATACCAAGCATTGGGTTCTATCACCAGCCCTGTAAAAAAAACTTTGTTTCTGTATGTGTATTTTTATTACTTTTGTTTATACCAACCAAAAAAATGCTGTTTCATGAAGTTTGATTGTATAATGTAATAAAGATTATGGTTGTATACCAAATATATAATATTTCCAATTAGCTCATGTGATATAAATGTCCTGGCATCCATAGATGACCAGCCAGTTTTGTATGTATGGAATTGCACTAAATTCCTGTTAAGGTAGAATCATAGACCTTGACAAAAAAGAAAAGAAAAATCTCAAGATAGCTAGTAAACTCCTTCACTGGGGAGACTGACAAGGATCCTCTCCATTCACAAATATATCTCCATAGAGGGAAAGCCCTCAGCACTTTAGTTCTTTCAGTATAAAATTCTTTTCTTAGAGAAAAGAATTTATCTGAGGCTTGAAAAACAATGGTAGGATTGAGATTCAAACTCAGGACCCTGTATTGGCTAGACAGGTATTCTTCTACTACTGGACCACAACCCAAGTTCTCCATTCTAAGCGTAACTGATGTTTTTTCAAGATCATACTGGGGCTGTGTGTTGAGGAAGTAAAACACCCAGGATAGAATCCCCTCACATTGTACCAAGGGTATGTGCTAGCTGCATCACTAGTAATATTAACATTCATCACTTAGTTAAGAGCCAGTGGCTCATGCCTGTAATCCCAGCTACTCAGGAGGCTGAGATCTGAGATTGTAGCCCAAGCAGGAAAGTCTGTGGGACTCTTTTTTCTCCTCCCAATTTATTTTATTTATGTGGTACTGAGTAATTGAACCCAGGGCCTCATGTATGCCAGACAAGCACTCTATCACTAAGTCACATTCCTTATTTCCAATTAACCATCAGAAAACCAGAAGAGCACTAGCCTTGAGCAAAAAAAGCTTAGGGACAGTACCTAGGCCCTGAGTTTAAGCCCCACAACCACCACCAACAACAACAAAAAGAGACAGGAAGCCAGGAGCTGGTGGTGGCTCACGCCTGTAATCTTAGCTACTCAGGAGGCTGAGATCTGAGGATCGAGGTTCAAAGCCAGCCTGGGCAGGAAAGTCCATGAGACTCTTATCTCCAAT